ATTACTCAGGGGTGCCTCTTCTTCCTCATTTCCAGTCCACTACCTAACTCTTTTCTCACGGTCTTGCATTTCTCATATGGAAATTTCTCATTCTGGTTAAATACAGCATCTGGTATGCTGTCTGTTCATAAGAGTGTAATATTCGGAAACTAAGTCGATGGAACGCCGAAGTTTATACTGTCACGATGTCAGTCTCTCTTTTATATTTCTTACAGGTGCAAATTTTAACGGAAATGAAAAGAAACACTTTGAGCGTTCATAATTTTTTATCTAGTCCACACTTAAGGTCATATACTCCTGTCTTAGGTAAAAAGGAGATTCGCACAACACAGGACACGTATTGTAATAAAATAATGAGATACCGCTATTTGTCATCCACCACTTTTCCTTTCTGCGCCTAGTGGCAGATTCCAACACGTCTAATGTTGCGTGCTTAGCAGCCCGTACGTGACTCGTGTTTACTTCTATTTACTACTTATATCAGGTGTATCAGTCCAGCACGCAAGTAAAAAAGTAAATTGAAAAAGCCGATATCATTTTTATCCAAATTGAAATCAATTTGCTGAAATTATGAAACTTTGACGTGGGTCGCAGAAGACGTCAATCGCTCATAATTCTATCGCTTATTAAATCTTGTAAATGTTGTTGGCTACTTACTCAGCAAATTTGCAAATTACGCCATGTCATTAAAAAGGAAATATGTCTTTAATGTGTTCCATTTAATGTCATTCAAGGTAAAAAAACAACGATGAGGTGACAACCGTAAGTGACAACCAGCAAACACTGCGGCTTTAATTATGGTCTTGTAGCAGCTTGTACTGCATGATTGGTCTCGGTTATAGAATACGTGATCAATTTACGTTTACGTGTAAATAACGAAGCATATCTTATTACTAAAATGTCTTATGTGATGTTAGAAAGATGAAAAATATCATAGTCAAATCCTGCTGATACGGACATTGAGTTGGCCATAGAAGGTGTCTGTATTAACGGGATGTTCGTCTTAGGCGGGTTGAATTGAGCTGGAGAAAATGTCAAGGCTTTTTCCCCAGGAGACATGCAAAGCAAACTGTCCACCGAGATAACGATCGAGTTGTAGTATCAAGCGGGTGTCCCGCTGTAAAGCAGGGTTCGACTGTTTGCCATATACAAAAGAGACATTTCATCATACGTTAGTAAAGCCATCGTCTTCAAAATTATAATCAGCAACAGCATCATGACCGTCATCAGATGGATTGAGATTCAAAATCATTTAATACATGTATTGACAATTTAAAGTATGTCATATTTATAATTGAATTTGCGCGGTTAAAAGGACGCGAACTTGGGAACGAGATTCATAATAGTTTCTATAATTTGTCATCACTCAGAATCGTATCCAAAATTGAACGCAGGCGGCTCCATAGTGAGTGCTAAAAAAGGAAACATTAAAAATAATGTGACTCAAGTTAAAACGTACACAACAATAAGAAAACAGATAACAAACTTGCATGTAAACGTGACTTGCATTTTTTGTTCCCGTCTGTGTCTAGCGATCCATTCATTCCTAAAATCTCCTAAACCCACAAACAATATCCCCAGGGACGGATCTAGGGGGAGGGTGCAGGGGGTGCGCACCCCCCCCCTGAGATGACCTGCGGTTTTCTAATACCACTGGTATTCTGCAAAAAAATAAAAAAACTATGTGGTTTATTGGTGTTCAAGTAGAGCAAGAGACGAGTGCACCCCCTCCTAAAAAAAATCCGGGATCCGCTCCTGATCCCCCTGTGTCAGTGGAACGCAGATAACCCTTCTCCCTTCCTCTCGACTCTCTTTCCTTCCCATAAGTGCTGAGAAAATGTAATACAAAAAGGTTGTGGACAGTCTATCATGTTTTGAAGAAGAAAACACAGAATGCAATAGGAGTAAAAAAGTCTTCAATCTACTCTTGGTATATAGAAAAAACGTGAAGTAAACTTAGCACAAGGACTGATGCCTAATCATACATTAATTAGCTGTAGTGAGTTACTGTTCGAAAGAAGTCAATTTTACCTCAGTTGTTACACTTACTGATCCATTGGCGGATCCAGGGGAGGGGCCCGGGGACCCGGGGGCCCGGGCCCCCCTTATGTTTAGACCACGAGACCCGAAGGACCGAAAAAAAATGTTTTGAGACCGACCCTCCCCTCCTTATCTCAGGGTCTGGATGACCGCCGCCCCCCTTATCTGAAGGTCTGGATTCGCCTCTGCCATCCATTTAAAATCAACCGGTGATCGTGTCGTGAGATACTTTGTCTTGTTTGGCTTAACTGCAGGCTATTGATCTCTCTTCGCCTTGCACTTACGTTTGATATATACTGCTTACCTTGCTAGCAAGACAAGTGTACCGATATTTAAGTAGCCTGCGTATATATACGTAGCAGGCGCTTGGAAGTAGTGGGCCCAAGAAAGAACGGGCGCGCGTATCGGAACAGGCTAATATTTAAAAAAAAACGGGCACATTAGCAGGTGGCAACAAGAAAGAAATGATTGTGACTCTATGCTTGTGCTTACATCTACGCAATGAAGTACACACTGTTGTTACCCGTTTATGCTGCATTGCTAGTGAAAATTAGTTCATGATCATATACTCGCGGATCAGCGGAGCTGATTACAAGTGAGCGAACGAACACGGTTCAGCTTCTTGTGAAAATTATTGTTCGCTGTACTACAGCCTTGCAAAGTCGGTTCCTTGCTGTAGATATTTTAGAAACGGTTAGAAAATATTTAAGTTATATTCGTTGTAAGTTCCTGTTTTAAGTAAGTTTTAAGTAAGTTTCCTGTTCCTGAGGTTTCGATTTTAGCAATAGTTTGTTTTTTCCCCATCAAACTCCTTGCTCAGTTTTACGGTGCTTTTAATGTTAGTCATAGTTTTTGATGCTTTACGGTTTCTTTGCATTTATTAATTTGTTATTTAAAGAAGCTAATAAAGCGGGAAATATATAATCGAAAACATGTTAAGAGAAAACCAGTTTAGTTCCGCAAATTAGAGAAACACTGCTTTAAGTTTCTAAACACCTATACAGCAGAGATTGTAATTTTTGCTCTTATTTCTGAGAAATAAGTAATCGATCGCATATAAGTTGCATATATATAAGTAGGCAATAAAATAAGTCCCACGTTTTTTTACTTCTGATCAATATTATTGACACGGCAACGACAATTCTAAAATTTACCCAAAATTTGGACATAGCGTTATGAAGGGACGAAGAGGTCGTTAACGACATAGAGAACCTAACTGGTTGCTTTTTGTTGACAAGCTCTAAAAGCCCTGCAACTCCATATGATTTTTCTCTCAGTCAGTTTCTTATTAATTATCACATTAAACCGCCATTATGACGATTTTGGAGCAGCACGGTTGCACTTGGATAAGAAGAATTGAACTGAGTTTTTATTTGTAGATTGAACTATTCAGTCATTGCAAGTGATAAACATATTGGAGCGTTAATTACTACACTTTTCTCACTCTATTACTACAAGGCTGAGAATGACTGCTTCACAGCAACTTGGAATTTAAAATTGTAATTTAGAATGTTTGTAAATTTATACTCCTGTCGAAAAAAACAGGAACGAAAAAAATTTATAAGTAATGTTTACTCTCACAAAGAAGCCAAAAAAATTGCCAAGATATTCTTTTTTCTGCTAATTCTTGAAAGAAATATATAAGTTACACTGCCCTGAATAGAAATGAACGAACATTAAATGATTTGCATGTTTAATTTACCACAGCTGGTAATAACATTTTATCAGATCAATTTGAAGTTGACATGTTGGCTGCCACCATTTATTGGAAAACAAAATTACATCGTTTGCGTTAGTTTGCCATGGTAACCTTAGGATGTTGTTGTTGCAAAGTGGTTCTCGCAAAGAAAAAAAGGTGCCGCTTTTTCAGAAGCATTAGAAAGCGCACACAATTTTTTTAATCATGGCAACGTCTTCATTCGTCTGAGAGATGTCTAGCAAAATACAAGTGCTGTAGGTTTACAGTTTGAATATAGTGAATAGATGGCGACGATTATTGCGGTGAAGGACACACCCTGAGTTTGTGAAACGAAAATTGCGATGTTGGAGTCATAAGCAGCGAATTGTTAAAAAACATTCGAGGAATATAAATTATGTAAACCACTTCTCACTTTCCGTCGATGCTGTCTTACTCTTGAATCGTTTGACTGACTCTCTTAACGTCATTACTATTCATTCAGTCTCCGCCGTTTAAAGCAAGCATGTGAACTCATTTCATTTATCTCAAGCGTATTGTAAACACAACGTTCCTTTCCCCTGATATTATTTTCACTGGAAAACTCCCTGAATTTCAATTAATAGAAAAGAAACACATGCGGTGACGGTTTATCTCGCTAATTCCTTCTTTATTGCTCAGCTTCAGCTTGCGATGAAGGCAAGCCATTATGAACGACAGACTGATGGCAATCCAAAAAGTCATTGCCCAAAACATGTATTACCGTTTGCCCATTTTTTCAACGAAAATTAATTTTCCATTGTGCATTTAGACAAAACTTTTCGCCCAAATCTCCCGCTATTTCTGTATCCCGCCCAAGAGGGCGAGCGAGATATGCTTGCCGGTTTATCGCCGTTTGTTATGCAAAGTTCGTTGTGATAAGAGAGAGCGAGTCTCACAACGGAAACATGAAAAATGTTCTATCGAGATCCACCGTCCTTGGCGTAATATTCATAACAAAATGGAACTGACGTCACAAAGGCTTTTGATAAACACAATTTTCATGAGAAAACGATTGGAAAGGTTCCTCCCTTTAACGATCTATTTCTCTCAAAAATATTCTTTAATACGCACAAAGATAAGAGAATGAAGCGAGTTTAAGTGTACAGGGTCTCGCGGAAGAGCGTTTGATTAAACGGTTAGGCTGCTAAACGTGCTGTAATTAGCGAAGCAACTTTAATGAAGATCCAAGAAGGTCTACAGGAAAAGGTCTATGAAAGACACCCTTTGCGCATGCCCTGTTGAACAGGTGTTGATTCTCGTAACGTACCATGCAATTCAAGACATATTGTCAAGCCTACCAACCAAACAACCGAGCCTTAGACAGAGAGATCTAGTGTCGCTTAATTCTCAGTGATATGTTTTCGTTCGGGGCGCTTGGGTCGCTATTGGTACACGCGGCCAGCCAGTGATAACAAAACCGCTATGGAAAATCGCATCTATGGCTGAACTAACTTTCTTTCCCTATGTTACTTTGGCTTAATTATGGCATTAAGTCTTAACACAAAGAAGTTGATTATACGGATTGTGTTATTTCTCGTCTACCTTCTTGTTGGAGCTGCCATTTTCCAAGCAATCGAAATTCAGTATGAAAAGGACAAACGAGAAGAGCTTCAGTTCGACAAGGTCAGAGAAAATTTCGCGGTTAGACACAATATTTCAGACCATGATATGAAAGAGTTCCTTGGCAAGCTCAAGAAGGCATTAGAGCTTGGCTTCGACTTGCAGACTGTGAAGTTTCAGGAACAGTGGCATTTTATGAACGCCTTCGTTTTCGCTGGAAATGTAGTGACGACCATTGGTGAGTGAGATCATGGGCTACAACTTTGTTGGGATAAATGATCTTCGTTAAGCGCGCATTTTCACGCTCCCCCTAAAGTTGGCTTAAAACGTGCTAAGCGTTAATCTGCCTTAGCAACATACGGAGTGAGAGAGACGTAGATTATTCACCACATATCACTTGCAATTTAGCCAAAATCGGCGGTTAGTTAAGTACTGGGTTGTTTGATTGCATTGTTTACAAGAAGAAACGAATATTCGTCAATTGGGAACAGCTACAATTTTTAGGGAGTTGTGTCGGCATCATATGGTCGATTTCATACTATTCGGTCGATTTTGGCTATAACGCTGGGCAAGCAGCTGTGTGTTATGGTTGTTTAATATTTAAATTTTTGGGCTTTAAACGCGGCAAACAAAAAGCCTCTTCCAAAAAGCTTGTACGAACATGGCAAAGAAAAAAGTTTTAACTTGTTGTAGCTTTTAACTGTGGTCTCTTTTACACTAGCTATTAGGGTTTTTATTCACCTCACAAAATGGAATTGAATATGCCACAATTGGTCGACTGCGCATAAACATCTCAAGAGAACTTAAGAACCATCTTTTGTCTTCCAATATTTTAATTTTTCACCCTCGTATTCCATTCTTTAATATTTGGCTACGACGCGGAACACGAGCTCATAAGCCAGACCTTTTTTAGTCTTCTCGGATGTTCACAATTTCCTCTCGGCGTAATCGTGTATATGCATGGTTATATCATTACGCATTACGCACTCGCGACTTGTAGTAAAAAAACGTACGCTAAGAGATAAAAAACGAAGAAACAAATTACTAGACTATTCAAAGGTCAATCATTGACAAGGAGACGGGAAAAAATCTTGCTTGCGGCGGACTTTATGAAATATTCCAGCCATTTGCCAAAAAGGGGTTTATTGTGCATATATTTAGCTACGTGTAAAGTTTATATTTTTGATGTCCTTGTTTTTATTTGACCCGCCTGGCGCAACCTTGCCACAAGACGCGATGTGGTAGTTTGCCACAACAAAGCCCTCAAATGTTTTAGACAAACAAGATAGGCCAGGGTTAAGTATTTCTAGGCTGCCATGCTAATTTATAATAATCAGCAAATAAGAAATTTGGCCACGATGTAAGAAACCGTGTCTTAGTTCTAGCTAGCAGTTGTACTGGTAACGTGAAGTGTGCTCAGACAACTAAGTTTTTATCATGGTTGTATTTGCGAAAAAATTGCGATGACAAAACACGAGCTTATAGTTTGAACAAATTAATAACAGACTCGTCGGCTTTAAAATGGACTTGTATTTAACTTTACGTCGATTCCATACAAATATTTGAAGGAGCTTAACGCAGCTTTATGACATCTCGCGTGGTGAGTGATCATGGTAGAAAAGTCAACAGTCGCATCTTCCAATAATAAATTACTCGCGTTTTTGACAAAAAAGCCGGGCAAAAAAGGTTATAAAAATCCTTACGACAAATTAGCAACAATAAGGTGCCCACGGATGGCTTGAGTAGAAAATATGATTTGTCGTGCAGTAAACACTTGATGTTCTATTTCTTGGTAACGCTTGGTTTTGTATGTGTTTCTTTCCGCAGGTTATGGACATATTGTACCAGCTTCATTCTGGGGCCGCTTCTTTTGTATATTTTACGCCTTGTTCGGAATTCCTTTAACTGGATTAACCCTTCGTTCTGTTGGAAACAGTATCTCCGAGGAAATTAGAATTGCTGTAAAAAACTTCGAGAGGAGAGTATACAACAGGGAAGCAGAGAAACTTGAAATCAAGACTGCAATCATTGCTTTTATTTTACTCATAGCTATTGTCGTCTTTCCAGCAATTGGTTTTCACCGTTTAGAAGAATGGACTTACTTTGAAGCCATCTATTTTTGCTTTGTAACTCTTACAACAATAGGGTTTGGCGATTTTGTGACCGGAAATGTGAAAAAAGACTATTCTAGTGGTGACAGCGCAATTCCTGTAGTTTTAGAGTTCCTCAACTTGATATACATGGTGGTGGGACTAGCGGTAATGTCAGGTGTTATAGTTTCAATTAGCGGCGTTATCGAAGAAAAAACGAAGAATATGGCTATGCCAGATCCGTTGGAATCTCTAAAAGCAATACAATATGCAAATCTTAACTCTAAAGCTATGCGAAAACTGGGCTATAAAATGGGTCCATCCCCGTCCAGCGATGATGCTCGGCAGCGACAACAACATCAGCGACCTCCGAAAACGAACTCATCCACGCCTTGTGCAATAGACCCAAGCTCTAATCGAGATCGCAGCCAGTCAGCGGATAAAATGGATTTTCAAGGGCCGACGCCTATACTACACTTGAATAAAAATAGCACCCTTTGTGATCGTACGAATAGCGCAAACGAATTGACAGAAGGTTCTAACAAGCCTAAATTAATGTTCAACAACAAAGTCGTACCCATGGTGTCGGACAGCGCCTGTGATTTACCCGACAAAGAAGAGCGGAGACACTCTAGAATGTCCTCGTTCGACAACAAGAGCGATAGTCACGATGAAATAGAACGTGAACTTGCGCCGAGTAATAGTAACACCCGAAGAAACACATTAACAGAGAAGACAGGAAGCAGAAACGAGCTGGTAGGTACTGCACAAGTTTTACTTAGTTAATAATTTAAGATTAATAGGACTCGATGGATTCGCCGCTAAATTTTTATCAAAAAAAGTCCGTTTGAAGGTAATGTGTTAACACATGTTATTCTTAACCTAAGGCTACTGTAAGGTCTCAAAGTTCTGGCTTGGATTTTCCTATCTGCTTTGAGTTATTGCTAAGGGAAACACGCCTATTGAATTTGAAAAAGCCACAGTTTTTTTAAGTCGATTAGGATTAACTAATGGAGTTCTAAAGACAAGCTTTAATGACTTGCATGTGTTTTTTGCTCCGAATACGACGAAGATCTTTTGTTATTAAAAAGGAGAAGTTTGAACTTGTTTCTTTGCGCGTAATGACATTCTTAAAATTAAAAAATATGTATAATGTATTCTTTTAATTTTCGAATGAACTGGAAGCTTTTTGATATTGCCCATGCATGTCAAAAATAAGCTTTACGAGAATTTTATACTCAACTAAGGTTGGGAGAACACTCACAATCTAACAGAAAATGTAGTAATTTTTTTCTTTTTGTGAAATCTCACACCTAGTGTTGTGGTAAAATATTATTTTATGCCGATAAGTGTGGTTCCATCGAAAACAAAGACGCTGCAGAATTAAACATAAGCATGTCAGTTTTTCAATAGGAGCACCTGCAAGCCAGTGTATTTAAGTCAGAAATGCTTAGAAATTACAATAAGCTGATCTCGCATCAATATTCAGTGCGTCGCTTAAGTTCTCTACTAAATAATTCTTGGTAACAATAGTCCACCTTTTCCCATAATCTTGAAGTTTATTTATTGTTAATTTTTTAATGATGGTTTTCGCTGTATCTGCGAAACTGCCGTTGCATTGGTTGGAGAAAAACGAAGAACTTGCGCTGGCCGAAGCGAAAACTTGTATGCTAAATACGTAGGTCATCTTTTTTTTAAGGAACTGATAATCGCATACTGGGCTTTTGAGTTGGACAGCCCGTAAATTTTAAAATAATTACGCTGAACGTTACATGTATTTCATGGAAAAGTTAAATGGCCGTCATTTGTTTAATGCGCGTGTATGTTAGAGGCCAAGGACTGGTCTGATATAGAGTTTCACATTTGCGACTCGGTCACGTATATTTTTAGAGATTTTCCCGAGTGGTTATTTTAATTTATGACGTTTTCTTTTCTCAGCTGTTGTCTTGATGGTCTTCACGCATGCACAATAATAACCTGCGACCAGCAATACATCCAATCTCGTTTCCAAGGGCCGCGATCATTTTGGTCAGCGACGAGGATCACTGACCAAAAAGATCACAGCCTCTGGGAACGAGATTGCAGTACAGAAAATCCCTAAATAACAATGACTGAGGTTATGTGCCCGCGAGACTGAGCAGCCCCCCCAAACCCTTGTTTTCACTAAAACCGCTAAACTACATTACATCAGGGGTAAACCTGCGTTCTGCGCATGACTGGCCTGGTGAGACCTAGTATTAAGATGGGGTTTGGCGTTTGCGAAAAATTTGAAAATTTTGTCATCGCCATTTTTTCGTTTTTGCAACCTTGTTCGCATCTGAGAGGCGCGAAATTTTTTGTTGATGTTTTTGACAAACACACTCAGAGTGGGGTGAAATATTATCTGCTCTATCCATAGGCTTTAACGGCGACGACAAGTGCGTTTTTAAAATTGAATTAAAAGAAGTAAATCTTTGGTGCCCGTTTTTCCAAAGTGTGTCAATCGGGCCCGAAAACCAATACAATAGAACCGACTTAGTCAACGAAACAAGATATTTTGCTTAGAAGGCTTCAACCCGCACTACCGAAAGGTTAATTAGACTTATCGTAAAATTGTTCCCCAATCTGTTCAAATGCAGCAATTTCTTAGGGGTCAATTTCTCGAAAGGCCTGGTACATTTTTGGGCCCGAAGGTAAATTTAAGTCAAAACCTGTTGAATGTTTCTAACCATAATTTTTTGCTCCATGGGTTATAGGTGGTTCAAGCACAAATCACCCCTCTTCCAACACCTCGCGCTTCACCAGCGACCTCCCCTGTTCCAACAGAACACGAACATTTAAATCCAAGGGAAGAACCTTCACTGGAGGTTGAAGAACAAAAACTACCTTTCAATAGCAGCTTTGAACCAACAAATGAAGAACACACTCTGCAAAATGAACTTCCACCCGTTGAAGTGATCGACAAGGGCGCTGTGACTTTAAATGGCTTTGCCGGTCATTCTAAGGGGTCATCGAGAGAGGAGAACTTAGAAATGACCCAAACGACTCGTCATACGATAAACAGGTAGCAAATAAAACGTGGAGAGCAATAATTCCAAGGTAATGCTTGGAAAAGGTGATCCGTGACCTGAAAGTGGATAGGATTATCCCGGAAAAGAAAAATCGTCAGCATTATCCGCGATGACCTAAAATGTGTGGCCAGCTCAAGAAACCAAGCAAAAGTACCTTCCAAACACGCAAAGAGGTCGGTGAACAAGGTGAAAACTTGAAGATGTCTCTACAAGATTGCTAAGTGCTAGGAAAAGGAAACAGATTATGGATAAAGCAGACCTTAATGCAAGAACTGGTGGAGTCACCTAGCCTATTCGCGCGTCAATGGCGCCTCATCCCTTTTCTTGTTAGTGCCTGCCAGCTTGGTTACAAACCGAAAATATAGCACCTTAGAACAAGCACCAAGGGTAAAGATGACGACACGAAATTGCCCACTTCAGATACTCTAGAGAGAATGGGTACAAGCTTTGGGTGCAGTGGATTCTGGGATGGTTTGTGTGGACAAGCGTTAGTTATGATTGGTCGATGGTGTTTAAGACGACCATTAACCAATCATAAGTAATACTTGTCCACCCAGAAGATTCCAAAAATCGTTGCGCCAAAAGACTGTAGTCATTCCCCTCATAGCCCATAGTTTCTGCAATAATAACGAATTTGGGAGCGAGGAGCATTCTATTGGAAAACCTTACCTACCCTCCGCACTAGTCAACTTTAAATCGCATGGCTACAACAAATATAGCACCAAGTCACGCTTCTTAAATGCGTTCTCTGTCAGAGGAGAGGAGACGTCGTTACGTCACCTTGCTATGGTAGCAAAATTTCTGGATCTCAACAAACCGTAGATTAGTCTCCTTCGCAGCCGTTTTTAGGCTCGTCACGCAATGTTCACGCGTTGCGTGACGAGCCAAGGCTGCGAAGGAGACTAAACAAATCGCAGGCCTGCAAATATGGCGGAAACAAAACGAAAAAATTGCCATTTATGACTTTCCTGGCGTGAGCATGATTGCAGCCAAGATATGAACCGTAGCCCATACTTTCCTTCAAGCGTTCGTTAACGTAAATGGCCGCCTCTGTTGAAAGATTGTTGACAGCTAGAAATTTTCTTACCATGGTAAGGTGACGTTGTACGTTTTCTCTTTATTCTGAAGGCAAAGTATCGCGGTTTAGCCTTTTCATCGCACATACGTGGACCGCCCCGATAGAAACGCTCCTGATTTTCCAGATTTGTCCCCGATCATCCCAGACGATCGGGAATATCTACGATTTCGAGTTTTCATTAGTCAGGAAAATCTGGGACGGTCGGCAAATGGTAAAATTCCCGATCGTCAGGGATTTTCCTGACATACGAAAACCTGGCTTAAGTGCGGACAAGGTCACATTGGACAAGAGCAAGAGAGGCTTGACAAGAGTTAATGCAACAGGAGAACAAATTATTATGAATGGAATGAACAATTGAACAAAAGAAATTAAAAAGGAGAAAATTAAATTTGAATAAAACTGTTCTTTACCAGAAACATTTTCTACAAATTTAGGAATTTTTCAAATATTATTGTGCCAGTGGAGAGTATCTCAATCATGTGGCAATTTCAGCAATCTAAATAAGGGCAAAACTTTTCTAGAGGTTTATAGCCACATTTTTATATTCCCGTCCTTTAAAAACTTGTTTTTTAATTAGTTTAAAGTATTTAATAGATCCTCGACTTTAATATCTACACTAGCAGTCGCCAAATATGGCAATTTCTCAGTTTCAAACGTTAAATACAAGGATTATAAGGAGAACCATATTTTTGATTGACTGGAGTACCGTAAGTGATGGGATAGTCACTTGGAATCGGTTGAAGTTTGCAACATTCAATTTTAAAGATTTACTTATGATGTACTTAAAAAAAAGATGATGACCTTTGAGGGGAACTTCTGTGTAAAATAAGTTAACGGCCCTTTCTTATCCTTTGAAGTGGCCGATTTGAAACCAGGGCCAGAAATTCAAAGCTGGTTGATAACCAAGAAGTTAGCCCACGAACGCAGATGTATTTCCGAGCGCTATCGCTTGTCAAAGTAACTTATCAGGAGGGAGAGAAGCGACAACCGGAAATACTTCTGGCATTCGGGCCAAGAGGAAGCTTGTTTCACTAATGTTTCTTGATTTTGTTTTTATTAAAATTTGCGTACGTAATAACAACACTCAAACAACGGGATCGGAAATAACAGTAGTTTTGTATCAAAATTATTTCAAAATCAATTAGGACGGGTTGTGTGGACAGGACAGGTTTTCCTAATAGTAAGTTATTTATTGAAAGGTTGAAAACGTCCTAAACGACATGTAAATAGTTTGTAAAATAACTGGCTCGCTAGAAGACTGAAAAATACTATCAAATATAAAAAATTGAAAGAAATGTGATTTAGATAAAAATCAAAATGAATCTAGTACATATAATTAAAAATTTACCAAAATATAAAGAATTATATAAGAATAACTCATGCTGTAAATAAGTGAAAATAATGATACTTTCATTAATAAAATACATACAAGACTATGTTTATGTCGTACATACTACAAGTCCTTGTTTCAACTCGAGTTAGTCCTTCAACGAGTAGCTTTAAGTAGCTTTGAATAAGCCTTGTCAAGGTTTTGAAGCCATCTTGACAAGTAGGCAACCGCATGAGAAATTACACTGTTTGTATGAGAATCTAATGTCGAATAATTTCCACGAAACATATACCGCGTATAGTAACGCGCGAGTAACACGAGAATAGCCCTCGTTCGATATATTAACATTCTATGACTCCGAGGCTTTCTGGTTATTTTTGTATGTTTGGTTTGATTTTCTTTGTATTCTAGTCTCTTCTGGGAATTGCGAGACAATGGAGTTGTGAAAAATTTGCAGTTTTGACCTTAAAACCTCGGAGTCAAGTTAGAATTTTAATATATGGAGCGTGGACTATTTCTGGATTTATCACTCCCTCGCGCGTTATCTCTCGTGTCGCCAACTCGCTCGAGATGAAGATTTCTGGCAAGCTATTGTGAAGAACAAAAGGCGAGAATATTGAAAAGAGATTAAACAATACTGATCCAGCTACTCGACCAGTCATCACAAGGCCAAGACGACAAATGCTCTGGTGCTGACCATTAGTATCGCAGCTCTAGAAACGCCAGTGCGCGCGCACAAGAAATTAACAAGTGAGGGTAATTGTTTATGACATCACTAAATTTTAAAAGCTCACTTTTCGAAGAAGAAAAACGTGATCGAAATTTAACGGAAGATTATATAGAGCGGTGAAGTGATTTTTTTCTTAGAAAAGATTTTTTAAGATGGCACAGATGTTTGTCTACAGTTATGAACAGCTGGTGGCAATTGTAAACCAACAAGCAGCTACCATTGCGCAACACGCTGCAATGATTAACAACCTGCAATCAGAGCGACAGTGGCTGGAAGAGGATAATGATATCCAGAGAGAGGAGTTGGAAAAATCTCAAAAGAACCTCAAGGATCTCGAAACAACGAGAAATTTTACAGAAAATGAATTGAAGAAAGAGTTAGCGCGGCTCAAGGAATCGCAATATGACATCAAGTGGAGGCATAAGAACGCCGTTAGAGAACTAAGTGGTGAGAAGAAAAGAAATCTCAAGCTGAAAGCCCAGTGCACTTCACTGTTAGATAAGCTTGATCAGAGCACCCAGGAACTTCAGCAAAAGGAACAAGAACTTGACCGAGCAAACCAGGAACTCGATTTAGGCTACAGCGTGGGCGAGTGGATGTATCAACACCTTAGATTTTATTACTGGGGGTACTTTGAACTGCTTAAGTACTTCCAGTGGCCTGGACCATCGTCTGGAGGAGCGACCATCAGAGAACTCGACACTAATGATCGACCAATGGAAGGAAAGACGGTTGCAGTGCTGCCTCACAGTTATAACGTAACACAGGGAGTCCTGGTGTCACCAAAACCACCTAATTCAGATAGAGCCAGATCTGTTTTAGACGGCGCCAACAAAATAACTGCCGCTGTGAACATGTTTAAGAAAACGGATTTCCTAACAAGTCTGATAGCGCAGAGTGTCATCGAACTAGTCCCAAGTACCATCGTCTGTCCCAAAACAGTTCTTGTGATAAGACTTGCTCCCTCCCAAGACCAAAGCCCAATCGAGTTCCTGTCGCAGCTTATTAATAACACCAGCAGCTGCCGGTCTATCCCTGAAGTTCCTGAGGTTGCTCAATTATCAGCTGTCTACAGTGAAGTGCCTGCAACACCGGGCAACCACCTACAGCAGCACGCCATTTGTGCACCAGAGTGGGTAAATGCACCAACCAAAATACCCACACTAGTGGCTGTAAAAGGAGCCAGCCGTGCTCCTCGGGTACAGAAGAAGAAAAAGCGTTCAAATACCACCAAGCTCACCTACCTCACCTCTTGCAACAAGACGTTTAAATCTTTGCCTCTGAAAATGAAAGAGAAACACGAGAGAGGAAATGACGAACCAAAAGTTGGACATTGCCAGACGACTACTGCTTCTTCCAAGCCTGATCGGCTCTCCCTCGCGAACAACCGTCAATCTGTAGACTCCTGCGATGGGGAAAAGGAAGTTTCAACTCTTAAAGAGGAAAGGAGACGAACTGGAGAGGAAAAACCAAAGACTTTGGTGAGTTTGCTGAAAAATTACAGATACTCTGCTAAACTGAATTGGCCTAAAACGGTTTCAGTAGATCAACTTATAAAAATCCTGGGGATGTGATAATGATACCCAGTTTCACGACTCTGAATTAGTTTACTAATCAATCAGGGGGGGGGGGGGGATAGGTTTGTTGAAGAACCAATCGTCGAACATCGTCGTTTGAGTGATATTGAGATAAAAAAGCAGATATTAGGTTTTGTTTACGGTAGAGGCGACTTATTGTGCTCATGTTCAGTGTCTTATTAATCTCCATGTCATGTCACGGCCACTCTGCTGCGAGACAAAGACTTCGTGACAAAGCAAAAAGCACCTAGTCAGTGTGGCGTAGCTCTTCGTCGTTCTTGAAGATAGCGTTTTTACTGTGTATTTTGGCTTAACAATCTCCTTTAGTTATATACTTTATCTTTGCAGAAACAAAGAGTGACCAGAATTATCTCCTGGCTACGACGCCATTCTTGCTGCAGTCCGAAAACAGAGGAGTGAATAAAATCTATTGAGTAAATGTTATTTTTTCTATAAATTTGTTGATCTCTTACCAAGATGATTCAGAATACAAAAAAATAAACAAATAAAAAAACAAAAAATGAATAAAAACAAAAAACAAACAAAAACAAAAATAGTTGAATTAAAAAAAAATGTTTAATAGCTTTCCGTTTTTCTTTTTTTTGGCATTTTTTTAAAATTTTTGATAGATATTTCCTACACATACAAAAAATAATGCAGTGCAATTTAAACAAACTGTCACTTCACGGTTGGGAAATAGTAAAATCCCTCATCTTCTGGGATTTTCCCACCATATGAAAACCAGGCTAAAGTGTGGAGAAGGTCATCTTGGACAAGATTTAATGCAATGGGACAACAAATTGTTAAGAAAGGAAAGACGAATTGAATGATAAAAATTTGAATAAAACTGTTTCTTACCAGAAAAATTTTCTACAAATTTAAGATTCATTCAAATAATATGGTGCCAGTGGTGTGTATCTCAAGCACGTGGCAATTTCAGCGATCTAAATAAGGGCAAACCTTTTCTACAGGTTTATGGCCTGTTTTTTTTATTTCCGTCCTTTAAAGACTTGCTTTGTAATTAGTTTTAAGTATTTAATAGATCCTCAACTCTAATATCTACACTAGCAGTCACCAAATATGGCAATTTCTCAGTTCAAACTTTAAACACAAGGATAATGAGGAGAACCATATTTTTGATTGACCGAAGTAAGTGATGGGATAGTCACGTGGTGTCGGTTGAAGTTTAAAACATTCAATTTTAAAGATTTACTTATGATGTATTTCCAAAAAAAAAAAGATGATGACCTGTAAAGGGAACTTCTGCGTAAAATAAGTTAACGTAAACTGGCCAGAAATGATGTCGCAGTTCCATTTCAGAAATTCAAAGCTGGTTGATAACCAGGAATTTAGTCCATGAACGCAGATGTATTTCCGAGTGCTATCGCTTGTCTTGGACCGATCCATAATTAACTTATCATGAGGGAGAGAATAACATTCAAACGCCGGGATCGGAAAAAATAGTAGTTTGTATCAAAGTTATTTCAAAATCAATTAGGACGGGTTGTTTGGACAGGATAGGTTTCCCTAATGGTAACTTATTTATTGAAAGGTTGAAAACATCGTAAACGAAATGTAAATAGTTTGTAAAATAACTTATAATATAGAGAATTAATTAATAATAAATCATGCTGTGAATAAGTGAAAATAATGATACTTTTATTAATCAAATACATACTGCAATTGATTGACCTCCTAGCCTTGTTTGCTCTTGAGAATCAGTTTTTCGGAATTCACCATTATCACATAGACCATAATGCACCTTGTTAACCCCTCAAAATTTTGCATTACCATAGTCTTCTATTTCTCTTAGGACTAGCGTTATACCCAGGAGAAATTAGAAACAATGGCTATGCAAAATTTTGGGGGGTAAACAAGGTGCATTATGATTAGACAAGTTTATTATAGGCCTTGTCACGGTTTTGGAAGCCATATTGAAGAGTAGGCAAACGCGTGAGAAATTACAGTGTTTGTATGAGAATCTAATGTCGAATAATTTCCGTAAAACGGCTGTTCTGAAAAAAAACTAAAGCTTTACTCCTAAGAATTCTACTAAAAGAAATTGAGCGCGCTACATGTGCTAGAAGACCTAGAACCACTATTTAAAATTTTCTTTTCATTTGTGTGTAAGGAAGTCCCGGAAACAATGGGGAAAAATTACTGACCAATATATGGAAAATCTAAGGCTGGCCGTTGGAGAAATTTAAGCACAAGTACCAGTGACAGGGTTCTATGTAAGATTTATCGTTTGGGGGAGAAATTCCGAGTGTCCGAATGGCAGGAGTTTCCTCTGGGGGGGACATTCCCCCCAGAAATGTTTTGAAACGAATTTGCGCTGAAATGCAATCTGGTGCATTTTGAGACACAACTGATTTTGAGAAATGTTACAGTGGTATTTTATTTTATTTTTTAGTCTTGATCACGGTCTGACCATGTTACAATACTCCATGTTCCTTCTCATCCATCCTTAGAGAGGGAATACTTACTTCATGTGCACTGACCTCGTCGCGTCTGGACAAGTTTACAGAACCTTTAATTTGATAGGGGCACCAGCGATCAGCAATAATAATCATAAAATATTTATATAGCGCTTATACTTTTAAGTTCTAAGCGCTTTACATTACTTCAAAAAGGTCTGAATAAAAAATAAAAATCCTAAAATCA